TCGTTTTGTAACTACAATCATTTGGAAAATGGAACACATGATCCCCTGTGTTTCCCAGACTTCAGATGAGATGTGCAGGAGCCTTGGTCACTTTTGTGTGGGAACACACATCCACTAGATGTGTGAAAACACTAGGACGTGTTTCATGCTTTTTTCAGGAGTTTTCTTTTTTCTTATAATGAAGGAGTAATAAAATTATAAGGAAAAAAGCAACCAAAGGAAAACAGAGCTTCTTCACTAGCCACACATGTCTGCGAGGACTGTAAGTCACCCCAGCATCCTGGGTCAAGGCACTGAGGGTCCTCAGCAGCTCATCACACAGCCCAAGCCCGATGTAGCTCTGTCCCACTGTTTGGGTACAAGCTGAATCAATGCCTTTGCATCTTGGGGTCATCCTGATTTTTCCCAGCTGTGAGCACAGGTGAGATTCCCAACTCTTTAATCCTCAGAGTTTCCTATTTAAATACTTATTCTTAGAGGTCACTGCTAAAAAAGAACCAACCCTCTTGTCAGAAGCAGGTTATAAAAAGGGTGACATTTCAGGTGTCCTGTTCTTCCTCCAGCAGGTAGGAGCACTGTATTCCTGAGCTTGCTGTGCTTTGCTAGGAATTTGTCCCATCCTCAACACCAAATACCTCTTATATACACCATCACTTATATAAAAGAATCACACAGGATTTCCTGGTCTCCAGATGGAGATTTCCCTATGTTTTATTTCAATCTGCTCCAAAAAGTAGCAAAGAGAAAAGAACAAAACCTCTCTTGCTCCAGAGGTATTGGGTAAAGGAGGCAGCTGGGAACCTGAGGTTCCTTGTGCCACAGCACCAGGGTAAGGATGCACTAAGGGGAAGGAGGTGAAATCCTGAAAGGAATTCAAAGCATTTGGGGACTAGCAGCTGGTGGTATGTGTTGTGAAAGCACACGCATGGCAGTGGAGATGTACCTGAGGGCGCAGGGAGGGGATGAGGAGTTCTTAGGAGCAAGCAGAAGCACTAGAAGTAAATATAACATTGATATCTGCTTTATTTGACATAACCTAACTGTACTGTAGGATTTTGGCCTTGTTTTGTTGGAGTTGTAATCTGGTACAGAAAGCAGGTGCTGGCTCCTTGCCTTGTGGGATGCACCAAGCAGGATTTACCCCCAGGTTTTCCAAGAGGGAAATTATCTGAGCATGAGTTGGTGAGTCGCAGGATACACAGCGGACAGAGAAATCCCCGGGGTGAAGTGAGCCAGTCCCGGGGGTTCAATGAAGAGCAACAGCTACACATGTGTGTAACCCTTTGGGTGTTCATTTGAAGCCCTGAATGGGGAGGAAAAAGGGTGTCTTAGGGACAGAATC